CCCGGGAATTCGAATTATGGGGCTGCACGTGGGAACCAAGACGAGTCGGAAGGGGAGTAGAAATGTCAATACCGTCGAGCAATGAATGGAAAGGGACCACATGTGATTGGTGGGGGTATGAGATTGTGTCGGAGCTATCGTACCTATGGATAGAGCGTGTCTGGAGCCCGTTGAGGGAAGAGGAAGGATGGGAAGAGATTGCGGAAGGACGGGTGGAATCAGTCGGTACGATCGTTCTCTCTGAACAAGGTTGGCACCTGTTCTGCACAACGCTCGCGACAGGGCAGAACCCAATGTGGCTTTTAGGGGACGCTGAGACAAGGGCTCGGCAGGCGGGGGAAAGGTTTGCTAACAAAGGTTGGGATACGGTCAGCAGTAGAGTCGTGATGGGAGGATGGAAGGAATTTAAATCGCTTGGCGACCGAATCAAGACCTGGGTGCCCGAGTTCGTGGCGGACTGGTTTGGGGGTTTTTATCACGTAACAGAGGTAGCCGACACGATGGAGCGACTAGACATGAATTGCGCATGGCTGGCAGGGGAATTCTATAGGACATCCTTGAAATACGGGCCCTTCCATGGCGATAGAGCCCGGGAGGTCCTTATCTTTTTGGATATCGAAAGGAATGACCGGGAGGAGGTGGCTCCGGAAACTAGGGAGGCCATAGTCCGCCGTGAGGTAGCAGCAACACCTTGCTATGTGGATGATGTGTTCAAACTGTTCGAAGTACTGTGGTTCGACTAAACGCAGGAAAGCCGTGGGCCCAGGCAAATATGGGAAAAACTGCTAAGATAAGGGAATGTGATGTCTGGCCATTGTAGGGTTCAGTGCGGATTGCGGGCCAGGAGATCAAAGGCGAGTGCGTGATAGCGCGAAGAAGGACGTTCCTCGAGGAACGCCCCTTGGGCATTGAGCCGCCTAGGGAAGTACCAGGCGGGGCAGAGGTTAGCTTGCCGGCGACAAGTGGGGGTTGGCACAAGGTGGCGGATTGGGTCGGAGTCGAACTTGCGGAAAACATGGTTTACTTAGTAACGAAAGTTGAGTGGCGTGCGGGCGCGAGTGGGGAATGGAACCCGGACCCGCGGGGGCATGTGCGTGTAGAAGGGCGGTTGTATATGTCAGAGGATGGGTGGCGGGAGTTTGGAGTTATGTTGGCATCAGGAGAGGATCCATTGAGCATGTTCGTAGGGGCGTGGCAGTTGCTGTGGAAGGCGGGAATCGAATTCGCGGACCTAGGGATGGATGATGTAACAACAAACCTTAGGGTAGCCATGGTTGGGAGCTTTGAATTGCCCAGTGAGAATGTCCGGATGAGACTGCCGCCCTTCCTGCTGAAAAGGCTAGGCGGAGTGGAACTTATCAGACGCGTGGTAGCTGTCCTTGCCACTCTGACATATGAGGACACAACGATACACCGGGAATACTACCTGGCCTTCCTAGAAATGGGATCGTTTAGCGGGGAGCAGAAGTATGAGGTGTTGCGGATTCTGCGCGCTGTTTTTACCACCAGGCCAAGGCCCCGGTCGTAGGTGATGAAGTTCTGTGGGGCGTTGTCCGACGGGAAATAAGTCAAGGGATGACGTACGTGGATGATTTACACCAATTGTATGAGCCGACGGGAGTAGAAACAGACTGGTAGAAGAGCCGAGAAAAGAAAGAAAGAGCTAGAAGGGGAAAGAGGCATTGAGATAAGGACCAAGGAATTGCTCAGGTAAGGGCCGGGGAATGGATGGAATACGCAAACTCGCTTGCTGTTTAAACTGTGCAGCGGACCGCTAATCGACAATGGCAATGAGACGCGCCCAGATGTCGCGACGGCTCACGTACCCGCGGCCACCCACGGAATGTAGGGGCGGATGGGAGGTATTGCTCACGGCAAGCTACAGGGTCCGAGGGATTGATACCGAATGGAGAGCCGTGACCCTGGGAAGGGACCAGTTGTTCATGATGGTGGAATGTTTGTGGGATGGTATGAGGATTAATAGGGGGCCAGGGGACGATCTCTACATCGACCTCAGGGTGACGGGAACTGTATACCTGCCAGAACTTGGGTGGCATATGTTAGGAATGGAGCTGGCACTAGGACATGGGTTGTTACCAATCTTTCAAAGGGCTACTAGGGTACTGAACCGAGTAGGCCAGGAAGTGCGAGGGAGGAGGAATGTGGTGTTGAGGACCCGGGTGGAAGTAGGAGGTTGGCAAGAGTTTAAGGCCCCAATGACAGGGCTGAGGTGTCGAGTCCCCCGCTTCATGGTGGACCTGGTATTTGGCAGCCTTGAGAGGGCTAGGGACCTAGTGGATTCGACCCTGGTCTGGATTCACCACTTTCGACCACAGACAACGGGGATGTTTTACGATGTGTCGGTCAGGCATGGACCGTTCTGGGGTAATCAGGCCTGGGAATTACTAGACCTGATTGAAATTTTGATATTCGGGTTGTCTCGCTTGGCGTTTGAGGAGTATGAACCAATAATCGTTAGGGAAATAGAGATGGGAGAAAACTATCTTGCTGGGGTGGCCGACCTGTTCGAAGAACCGGATGAGCACGGCAGGCCTCAGGGACCGGCATGAGAAAACGCGTCAGAAAGAAATAGGGAAAATTAAGGATGGGTACTAAGATAAGTAGGCAGCCATCAGTGAATGGAGGGGACAGTGGTTGGAGTTCCGACCGACCTGGCAATGCAGCAGCAAGGGGAACCAGGAAAACCAATCGCGCCAGGAACAATGGGGCATTGAGATGTCGGAGAGCCAAAAGAGCCACCCCCGACAAGGAAGCCACGGGGCTCAGACATAGCCCTAAGATCCAAAGCGTGGCAGTAATAAAATGCCAAACAGCGGTGGCGAGTTCCCTGGCGGAGGAAGACCCGCAGGAAGTCCCGAGAAGTAAAACATTACGAGAAGCCGTACCGATTAATGAAAAGATGCAAAAAGCATGGGAATAAGCGGATTCTAGGGATGGGACTAGGGCAGCTATGAACAACCGGCCATTTTTCGTAAAAACAAATTTCCATGTGCAGGCCAGGTAAAGGGAATGGCGACTGAGGAAGGGATCGATGACCAGCAGAGCGGAGGGAATCAGGGCACAAATGGGGATGGGGAACGAAACGAGGGATCAGCCAGGGATCGAGAGTCAGCCAAACTGCAAGGAACCCGAGAAGACGGAAAGGACGCCTCAATTGGAGAAAGCTCGGGGAAAGCTGGGGGTAGCAAAAGGGGATCTGAGGAAAATAGGGAAGGGGGAAACGATATGAGAACAAGCCCTCGGAACTCGGCAGGAGCCAACCCTAAAAAGAAAAAAGTCTCGGATGCCAGTCGTAAATTGGCAGAGATAGAAAAGCAGACTGCAAAATTTAAGGCAAGGCTTATCGAGCAGATGATGGCCGAGGATGAGGACCCCCAGGGCGCAGGGTCACGTAAGGGACGCATGACCGGTCAGGACGAGGCCAGGTATGAGGAGAAGGATAATAGCCACAAAGGAACGCCTAGCAAGAAGGGGAAGGACAAGAACGACCCCCCGGCGGAGGGGACGGAAAACGCTATGACCCCGCCTGCCATCGACAGCGGCACTAGCTGACTGCCCGCCACGCCGAAAGTAACAGGGGCGTGCGACGGACTCTGGAGCCTTAGGGAAAGGGTGCTAGGATGGTTTGACCCAGAAGGATCGTCGAAAACCTGGGAGAAGCAGAGGGAAAGCAACGAAGGGGAAGGGACTAGTGCTGCTGAAGAAGCGGGTAGCTCCGAAGGTGGTCTCAAGAGGATAGTCGCCACCCTCACCGGGGCATTAAACAAGAGCCAGGGGTATCTCGCAGATGCAAAGAAGAAACTCACGTTTGATGGAGCAAACATTACGGAGTTTCTGATAGACTATGAGGACGAAAGAGGAAAAGATGGAGCACCTAGGGCAGCACGTGTCGCTAAGCTTTCGAAGGGACATTATGACCATCGTCGCATCCAGTGGATCCTGGAAAGAAACCAGGAACGAGATGATGAGGAAATACCTGAAGGCAGAGAAAATGGCAACAGAGGCCGAATAAGCAGCAGTACAGAGGAAAAACTATGCGACTTACAACGATTTCCTAAGGGCATTTACGTTAGTTGCCCTGCGAATTCCCGGGGTAACCGACCGCATAATGAGTAAATACTTCCTCGGGCAGTTTTCCGAGTTTGATAAGGATAAGATTCTGTCAGCATACCAGCAGACCACCAAGTTCGAGTACACGAGGGATGTGGATTTCAATACGGTAACAGATCTCCTCAGGTAACTGAGACCCTGGCCCTGCTTAAGGAAGGGGAGGTTATAGACTTGATCGGGAAAACGGTGGATAAGGTCAAAAAGGGAATAGAGAGCATGCATGAAAGGGTGCACAGGGTTGACAATAAGATAGAAAGAATGGAAAGCGCGCTATTAGTGATGCAGGCGCAAGTATCCCGACCCGTCCTCCCGCCCCAAGAAGCACTGGTTCCGGCAGCTGTAGCAAACCGTGGATTTGGCAGGAGGGACCCGACCAACGAACAATGCAAGTATTGCACCATGATCGGGCATTTCGTACGGGCCTGTCCCAGACTCAACCACGATATCGAGCGGCAGAGGTGGAGCAGGTCCCTCAATTGGAACTCGCCAGGAGGGATGCGTCAGCTGTAGCCGAGATTGTCTGCGACCAGCCAAGGGGACGAAGACCACAGGCCAATTTTATCCTAGAAGGCAATGGGCAGAATAGGGTAAATATCACTACCCGACGGGCTGGCGCGGAAAAGAAGCTCATCTGAGACACAGTAATGGAAGAAGCCGCGGGGGCTAGTGCAGATCAGGAGGAAGCTGAAGCCGGGGAACAAGAGAAGGTTTAAGGAGAAACGAGGGAAGAGGAAACGGTAGACAAAGCGACGGCGGCAAAAAAGAAGTTCAGATACCAGATTCCGATTCTGACGCTGCCCGAATTAGATGACGCATTGAGCAAACTCCTGGGCACCATGGTGTCAGTATCCTTCCAGACCATGCTGCAGGCAAGCCCGAGACTGCTCAAGGGCGTCAAGCAACTATTGACGCGTAGACGTGTAGAAATAGAGGAGGCTCCGGAACCACAGGAACAAGGATCCGAGGAGGCAGAGGCGCCACAAGGAGTCTCTAATATCCAAAGCATTCCAGGGGGCCTGGAAGACTTGGAAAAAGCCTTTGCCGATATTCGTCTGAGTCTGCCGGATCGAGAAGGTGGCGACGTAATGAGAGCACCGCCCGGTACTAAACTTAGTTTCCACACACTGCCCGTAGGAAAACTTAAAGTCCAGGTCGGAACTCACCACACCGATGCACTAGTGGATGGCGGCGCGGAAATTACCCTCATACGACGGGATTTCGCAACAATCACGGGGTGCTCAGTAAACGAGGAGGCAGCAGGCAACATTCGGGGAGCGGGGGGAGATATTCCCTTCACTGGATATGTCACAAAATGCGCGATCAAGGCAGGAATTCGGGAATCCATCTGGTCTTTCCAACGGATGACCGTCATGGAAGAAATGGACCATGACATAATCCTCGGGAGACCATGGTGCGCCAATGTAGAAATGATTGGCATGCACCCGCATGATGGCACATATATGGTAGACATAGAGGATCCAGTGACTGGTCGCGGAGAACTTCTCCGACTCCTCGGAACTGGAGGGGACCCTCCAAAGGGTAAGTTGGCAACCTGGTCACCGACGTTTGAAGAAAGCGCATGGAAAGGTGCATTCGCACGGATGCAAGGCATGAGGGAAAGGGTAGAAATTATGATTGAGGAAGTGTTTAGTAAAAAGGAATGGATAAAAATGGGTCTGCCTCTAAAGAAAAAGCGACAGGAGGACGAGGCCCTGGAAGTTATGGTGGCAGAAAAAGAGTCGGAAGTCGAACTTGGGGCCAGCCTGCCCAAGCCAAAGGAAGGCCGGAACGAAACGTCGGAGGTTGTGCTTGAAATCCCAGATTTGTTACAACTCGTTAAGGCCATCAGGTATCACAAAGTGGGGGTGGACCCCGCAGCACTTGCTAGATTTGAGGATGGGGTCCGAAAGGGCTACTGTCTGAATGGGAAGCTAGTCAGCATCCAGGCCCGCGTCTTGGAGGTAGCAAGGCCGATCCCGACCGTTCATTTTTAGGAGAACGATCCCAGAGGGTAGTGTGCGAAAATACAAACCCGTAGGGAAGAAGGCCAAACCGGTCTCGATTCTAGTAGAAACATCAAGGGAAGAGGCCATGGAAAAGGAAGAAGAGATCTTACGGGTTGTAAGGGAGAGACGCGCAACGGAAGGTCATCGCATACCAGATGACGTAGCAGATACCATGAAAATAGGAGTGGAAGGGTTCCTAACACCGGAAGAAACTCAGTTGATAAGAAAGGCATGTTAGGAGTTTCATTTGGCTTTCGCCTTCAACGATCATCAGAAAGGGCGATTGGACGCAAAGCTAGTTCCCCCTGTCAGGATCCACACCGTACGACACGAGTTATGGAATGATAAAGGGCCCGCCTATGAGTTTGGGATAGCAGCGGAGGTTACCGAACTGCTTAGAGCCAAGATAGATTCTTTCGTGGCTAAACCCACCGCATCCCCCTACGCGAACAAGTGGTTCGTGTTCAGGAAGCCCAATAAGACGCTCAGATGGATCCAGGACCTGCAGAAGCTCAATGCGGTAACAATGAGGGACGCAAGCTCGCTTCCACAGACCGACCTGTTAGCAGAATCTCATGCGGGGAGCATTTACTCGCTGGTAGACTTGTACTCATGATATGATCAGTTGCCACTCGATGTGAGGGATAGACTGTACACCGCAATGCACACCCCCATAGGACAGTTGCAGATGCAAGTGACCCCTATGGGTTTCACAAATGCGGTAGCAGAGGCGTAGAGGAGGATGCTCGCCGTCGCAGGGGATATGTTTCCAGAGAAGTGTGAACCGTATATAGATGATAATCCCGTAAAAGGCGCAAGGTACAAGGACGAGACGGAGGTCGAGCCGGGTATGCGAAAATTTGTCTGGGATCACCTACAGGATATCAAGGATCTCCTACATCGGTTCTTGCTCTATAATATTACCGCAAGTGGACCAAAGAGCATCCTGGCCGTCCCGGAGGTATCTATACTGGGATTTCGTTGTGGGGCCTATGGAAGGAGACCCGACCCAGCAAAGACAGATAAGATCTCTCAGTGGCCGACACCCCTGCGTACCACGACGGAAGTACGAGCCTTCCTAGGGGTGGTTGGATTCTGGAGGATCTTCATCAAAGGTTTCGCAAAGATAGCAGAACCTATCCGCGCGATGATTAGGGAAGGTGGCACTATGGATTGGACCGAGGATAGGGAAGAGGCAGCCCAGACCCTGAAAGACATCCTGTCGTCCGATCAGGTTATCTTAGCAGCACCCTGCTTCAATGACGAAGTAGGACGGCCCTTCATCCTAGAGACAGATGGCGGCCCAATGGCAGTAGGAGGCGTATTGATACAGAAAAAGCGAGGAGGGCAAGGAAAGACCGATCAGATTTGAGAGCAGGACCTTGAATTCGGCAGAACGGCGGTACTCGCAGTTTAAGAAGGAGGTCTTAGCAATCTTGCATTGCCTTAAGACCTTTTAGGCATACTTGTTTGGGAGGCGATTTATCTTAAGGATCGATCCTACGAACGTTGCGGGGGCACTAAAGAATTACAAACCTATAGACCCGACCGTTGGCAGATGGATAGGTTTCATATGGCAATTCGACTATAAGGTCGAGCGGATCGCGGGGCTTCGAAACAGGGCGGATGGGCTGAGTAGGGTATGCATCACGCCGGAGGGAATAGAGGACGCGAAACCAATTGACGCCTTCCTAGATTACGAAGGAGTGGTCCTTGTTGTGGATAACGAAATGGCCGACTCAACGCTTACAACAGGCCAGCCGCTGATTCAGACCTTGGAAAAGGGCACGCGTGCAGTAGTGGCAGAACTCAGGGAAGTACCAGTCACCACGGTCATGCGCAAAGAGGAAAAGGACTCGTGGGGAGCAGAAGTAGGGGCCAAAGAGAAACTGATGGCAATGGCCGTGGAAGGGGGACGGGACGCCGTGATGACGTTGGCCGAAACCTGGGCGCAGAAGGAGTGCCAGTACCTAGTCAACCAGACCCGGGAAGGGCAAGATACGGAACGAAAGGAACAAGAGTTCTTCCTCATACAGATGTATGAGGGCGTCTTTAGAGAAATCGGTCTGCTGCTTGTAGGGAACAAACAGTCCACGGAAGTCAGCTCCAAGGCAAGGGTGGAAGCTGAGAAGTACGTCTTAAGAAATGGTCACCTGTTTAAGAAAGAGGAAGGGATGATGTCGAGGCGTGTCGTTTGTGGGAGGTCTAGGCAGCTGGATGTAATTCAAGCAATGCATGATGGGCTAGCTGGAGGTCACCGGTCGTCAAAAGGGACACTTGCAAAGATCGTGCCCCTGTATTTCTGGCCAGGAATGGTAGGCATGGTCGCAACGTATTGTCAGACGTGTCTGATATGTCAAGAGAGGAGCTGCGTACGGGTTTTCGAGCCCCTTGGACCCACTCGGGTACTGGGTCCAGGGCACCTTGTTCACCTCGATCTCGCAGTCATGCCCGTATCGACGGATGGGTATAGGTGCATTCTGGATGCAAGGGATAACCTCAGTGGTTACCTAGAGGCCGTAGTTGTCAAAAGGAAGACAGGGAAAGCAGTGGCCGATTGGGTGGAAGATTTCTACCTAAGACACTCCTTCGTGCGCAGGTTTATAGCAGACAACGGGACAAAATTCGTTAATCAGGAGGTGTTGAACAGGCTTAAGACACTGTGCGTACCAATCAAGATCACTGAGCCCTACCACCATGAGGCAAATGCACCAGTAGAAAGGGGGCACCGAACCTTGAAAAACACAATCGCTAAGCTTGCAGCAGACAACTTGGGGAACTGACCACGGTACCTTAAGCAGGCAGTCTTCTCTGAGAACATGACGCCAAAGAGAACGATGGGATGCATTACAGCGCAGCTATGGTATGGAAGGGAGATTGACTTCCCAGTGGAGGCCCCCGTCCCTACCTGGAACAAGTTAGATGATAATCCGGACTTGACCACGGAGGAGTTAATCACTGCACGTTGCCAGCAGGTCGTCGGGAATGAGGAGGCATTGGAGGAAGTAGTTAACCGTGTAACGGATAGCCGAATGAAGGATAAAGCAAGGTGGGATCAGGTCAAGAACATTCGGAAAGACCCACTCCAGGTGGGAGAAAAAGTGCTAGTTAGAAACTCGGCCCTCGAAAGCACATGGTCTGGGCAGCTGGGAAAGAGATTGAAAGGGCCTTACAGGATCGCTAAGCGGGTGGGACTGAACACATTTGAACTTGAGGATCTCGATGGTACTAGCATAAGAGGGTCATTTTCGGGACAGAGACTGGTCAGATTTTTGAGCAGGGATCCGGTGGAACAGTGGCTACAAGAGGCCCAGGACAGGGAAACTGGGGAATTGACAGCCTGAAAGGCAGGCAGCTGGCTATAAGTTATGGACCGCCTCCCTGTGGAAGTGATCATGACCACAGGGATTGTTCGTTTGTGTGTCTTGACTTTTGTGGAACGTGGGGAGACTGCCTGGGCTGACTGTGACCGGACCGGGGAGCACGGGACAGTGTATTATAGTTTTTGTGGGGTAACGCTGGGGACTGTCTACACGAGGTATTTATGTGCTGGGACATTGTACCATAGTTTTTGTGGGGTGATGCTGTGGACTGCCTAAATGGGGCGCCTATGTGTTGGGACAATGTGTCAAGGGTTCTAAGGGATAATGGGGCTACCAACTATATGGGGGCAAGCAAGAGTTCTAGGGAAGCCTCCAAAGCCGCAAATGGGAGTGGAAGGGAATGCGTGTGTATGAGGGGTACCACGACTGTTATGTATGAACAGGGCTAGGCAAGAAGAAGAAAGACAGCAAGAAAACAAAAAAAAAATGGAGTTTGGGAATGAAAATGACAGCAATGCAATTAACAGGCCAGAAGGGACAGTCGTCAAGGCAAGCTGGAGAGTCAAGCTCCAGGAAAAGGAAGTTGTATGTGCGGTTCGATCACAACCTAGTTGTGAACAGGGGAGGCAGAAAGCAAGGAACCAGGGGACCTTCACCACCAAGGGAGGGGGAGCCAATAGTCCTCCCCTCTGAAAGCGATACCAGCAAGGACGAAGAGAGGAACCCGGGGAAAAGGCCAAGGTTGGAGGAGGAGGAGTCCATCGAGGTCATAGACCTCAGTAGCGGGGAAGAAGAGGACGAACTGACAACGCCCACAAGGGAAGATCGGGGAAGAGAGGAGGACCCAGGGGAAGAAAAGGATCCATGGAAAAGAGAATTCGGGCCAACCTTCAGCGATTGGTTCGATCAATGGGCCAGTATTTTGCGTTATCAGTGGGCAATGAAGGGCCTGGAAAAGTTGAGCAGAGGAGAAGACATATCCCCAACAACCTTCTTTTTAGAAGAAACGCTTCGTCATCTACAGACGATAAAGAGGTTAATGGAGCAAGAGATGGAGGACCGTGCAAGGAGGGAGGCTCGGCGCCGGGCGCCGGACACCGGGACAGTAAAAGGGGACAGCAGGCATGATGGGAATAGCTGGGAATCGGGGAAGGGTTGGTAACCGGGCAGCAAGAACTGCTATCTTTCCTTTTTGTGCGTTTGAACTTCTTTCCGAATGAACTGTGATGAGACAGCTGCTAAGCTATAAGCGGCCAAGGACTGGGTAACAAATGCTACTTCATATAAGTCGTTGATTCTTCGGGAATGGGCACGAGAGTTTTTTTTGCACTTAGAATAGAACTGTGGATGGCTGGGATGGCTAAGGGAAAGTAAGGGGGAAACAGCGGGGATCTAGACGAAGACGAGTCTGTAATGTTGTCTTTGCAGTCGAACTCTGTTTCCTTATTTTTCCTTGTAAGGACTACAATGAAACTACTTTTTGGATTGAGGGAGCTAGTAGAGGGTGGGTGATCAGGGCTACTTTGTATAAGTACTCGCTCCGTATGAGAAACATGAGCTTTTTGGGGTAGTAAGAAAGGGATTGGGGTTTGGTTGACTTTGTGGGCAGCGGCATGTGAACTCTTGAACGTTGGAAGAAACATTCATGACGAAAGTCTTTCCTTTGAGTTATGTATCCATGATTGAATGAGTTGCTCCACGAGTCCTTGTGAGAGGTTAGGGGACCTATAGGTAGAGAGGCACCCTCTCCCCTAGGAGCCTAATCCAACCTGCCCCAGGCAATCCCTGAGCATTGAGAAGCATATGAGAAGTCAAAAAAGTGGCAGGGAAACATTGAAATGATGCAACACCCCTTGCAATGGTTGAACGGCCGGGCGGGCTAGTGCTGCTTGGGGCCGCGAGCCTCAACTTTAGTACTAGACGCTAAGTCGGATGTATGGATGGATGTAAGAATGACAAAAGACATGAGGAAAAGGAAGAAGCATGCGTAAAAAAAAAAAAAAAAAAAAAAAAAAAAACCAAGACGATGGCCGCCCTGTAACCCCCGAGACGAGATAGGATCCGTGTCCTCGAGGCCCATCCCCTTGGGCGCTAACATTGCAATGGACAAGGATGACACTAACCAGGTTGTTCAATTGAAATGGACAAGGATGACCCTAATCAGGCTGCCCAATTGAAATAGATAAGGATGGTCCTAACCAGGCCGTCCGATTGCAATGAATAAGAATGGCCTAACCAGGCTGTTCGACTTGGAAATGGAAAGAACAACCCTAACCAGGTTGTTCGGAATGGCCCCTGACAAGGGTCATTCCTTGGAATTGGCACTGGGGTCCCCCTTGCATGGCTGCTTGTGATGCATGGAATTGGAAGAGCTGAGCTTTGGAAGAGAGATTGGAAGAACTCGACTTTGGAGAGGATATCGGAACTCAGCCTTGGAAGGGATATTGGATTGAGAATTGGAATTGGATTGAGAATTGGAAATTGCATTGCATAAACAGGGGACCCTTGGCAACTTGAAATGGACTTGGAAAACCCCTCGAAATGGAACTTATCTTTTCTTCTAGTCTTTGGCCTCAGCAAGAGGGGGATACCGGTGCATGCATCGCGACCCCAAGACCTCTATCCCTTTGAGGGAAAAAGTCTCAGTGCAACCTGTTCCTCTCCGAGAGGATGAGGGTTAAAGGGCTAAGGCACCTACCACCTGGAAGAGTCGTAAAAATTTCGGAATTCCGGATTTTATGGAATCATGAAATTTGTGGAATCTCAGATTTCACGGAATTGCGAAACTTCCGAAGAATTGTTTTTGCAAGAAGTTGCCGAAGTCCTACTTTATTAACCAATTCAACAATCAATCAATCAATCAAGATGGCCCTTGATTGGGAAGATCCTCTGATTGAGAGATCTGCTCTGATACCAAACTGTCACATACCGTTATGGTGCAGACCTGAAACAAGAACGGACGTCTCTCACATAGTACAGGATAGTAGAGTGAAAGACGGAAGTACCAATGATCAGACCAATCAGTGTCGCAATGCAGACCAACCTTACACCGTCATCATCGCAAGGTGTGAAGAGGCTTGGCGCTACACACAGGAAGAATGTGCAGGCTCAGATCATACACAGATGAGGAGGGGGGGGGGAGGATGAGGATGTCGTCAACACCATGTCTTCCATATAGATCCCAAATAGTGCCCCATCCAATGTCTCTGTCCCAATGTCAGGTCTGAATCCAAATCTGGTCAATCCCAAAGTCACAAATCTCTCTCTCTCTCTCTCTCGTAGTCTGTCGATACTGAGAAGTCAGGTAGTTAGAGGGTGCGGGAGAGATGGTGGACTGGAGGAAGAAGAAGAAGAAGATGAGTTCTCTCTCTCTCTCTCTCTCTCTCTCTCTCTCTCTCTCTCTCTCTCTATGTGCCAGGCACTAACCTGTGGAAGGTGGCCCCGTGCTGTAGGTACATCGAAGACGCAGTTGGAGCGATGACGTCACAGGTAAGCTCCCAGGTAAGTCTCACTGGCCTCCGCCACTCTCCTCCCTCTTAGCAATACCCTAAGGTCCTAGCAGCGCCCAGCGCTGGAAGACCACTCCCCAACTACTGCTGCAGCGTTCTGGGGAGTGCCGCTGCTGAATGCTTGAAGACTGAATGTTGCCTCCTGGGCGGATCAGCTATATATAGCGCTGGTCCGGCTGGGAGGCTGGCTCTCACCAATGCAAAACAACGCCAAAAGTCTGGCGCCTAAGTTGGTGCCCAAATTCGAATCTTCGAATTTGAAACAGGGCCTGAAAACGTCCTGGCGTATACCGGGTTTGGTGACAAAACGGGCGCCAAGGCCTACCTACGGCCTACCGACCTACGGGGCCTATCTAGGCTGAAACGACACAGGCCTAACGGCCTCTACCTAAGTTGAACCGACACAGGGCCTTCCTAACCCCTGTCCTGCCTGGTCGGGCCCTGCGGGGGCCCGTGTGGTGCTCAGTATGCCACATAAACTGATTACGTGGGCCGGGGAAATTGATCAGTTTGACTTTGAGTTGAAGCCAGTAAAAGGGAAGTACAATGTCGTCGATGATGCATTGAATAGAAGAGCTGACTTTTTCGGTGCTATTGTCACATGTCTAGATGCAAGCACCGAAATGCAAGAGAAAATTAAGTCTGCCTATGCAAGTGATCCAGTGTATAGTCAGTTGATTGGCAAGGTGCAGACGGCACCACTCGAAGTCCCGGACTATAGAGAAACGCAGGGACTGCTGTTTAAAAAAAAAAGACGTCCATCATTGACTATGCGTCTCGAAGAGCGAGGAAATTCGTAGCATTATACTTGGGGAAAATCACAATACTGCCGGGCAATTCGGATGGAGGAAGACTTATGTGAACCTCTTGCGCTCCTACACGTGGCCAGGAATGAAGCATGACTGCATTTCCTAGTTGCTAGGCTGTCAAGTATGTCAGAGGAACAGGAGTTCCACACAACCTCCCCTTGGATTGCTCAAACCACTGCCTATACTATCGGGACCCCAGGATTCCGTGTCAAGTTTGCTGTGTTCATTTCACTCCCTGCAGAAGCAAGAACTGATTTGGTGATTATGGAATTCTTTAACCATTGGGTGAAGGATTTTGAGCATCCTTTGACTATTGTAATTGACAGGGATTCACGATTCACAGGTGAACGATGGCAGCAACTGATGAAAGTATACGGGTCAAAATTGACCAGGTAGACACCCTGCGACAAATGGACAGACTTAGCAGATGAACAAGCTGCTGCAGCAAGTGCTGCGCATGTACATCCGGCCAAATCAGATTGACAGGGATGAACATCTGCTGAAGGTTGCAAGTGCTGTTACGATCCTGGTCATTTCCCAAGTGCAAATTCACAATGAAAGACAATGCCACCCAATTGCGAAAGAAATGAAAGCACTTGCAAAGAGATAGAGACCAGAGGAGAGGTAAAGAAGAAGAAGAAGAAGAAGAAGAAGAAGAAGAAGAAGAAGAAGATGTGCACCAGTAAGACCAATGACAATTCCCCCCTTCTCTCTCCACCCTCCTTCTCCTCCTTCTCTTCACCAATCTTATTCTTCTCTCAATAATAATAATAACAATGAATGGATGAACCAGAATCAATATCCGAAGTTCCCTCTTACTGCTGACTCAACTCAACAACAACAACAACAACAACAACAACAACAAGTCCACCATAGCTATGGCTTCCCTCCTTCAACCTCCTCTCTCATGCATAGGCCATGGCGGACTAATGAGGGCCCTGCCCTCTTGTGCAAAGGACAACCCAAAGCAGCTATGGTGCTGCGCTGATGCCCAAGGACAACCTAAGCAGCTATGGTGTTGCGCGGATGTCCAAAGGACAACCCAAAGAAGCTACGAGGCTGCTGACTTGGTCCGCCAAGCCTGACTCTGCCTCGAGCTGCCTTGGTGTAGCGCTACCCCAACTGGGGCCTTCCAGATGCAACGCCCAACAAGGTGTTGAAGACGGTGTCCACCATAGCCAAGTAGGTGCCTCGCCACTCTCCTACCTTGCCCCCTTCTTCCTCCTCAAGCTGGACTGCTCGCCATAGCCAGGCTGAGCTCCAGATGCCCTTCACCTCCAAGCAGCGTTGTACCCTCCAGCGCTGTGCTCCAGCAGCATGTCGCAAATCCTTGCACACCGCAAATGAGGAGGAGCTACTTGCTCCTCCAAAAGATATAGCGGCCTACTGGCCTCCTGGGCGTTGACTTCCTAGGCCGAGCGGCCTCCCAGCAACCGGTACCTCCTCCCTTTCAGAGGGAAACATCATTGCAGGCTCTGCTAACCTTCAGACAGGCCCTAGACCGGGGCTACTTGGACTGGTACCGACCTACCTCTAACCTACCGCTACCGGGCGTCTTAAAATGCCAACTTTTTGTCTTCTTCTGCTCGGCCTCCAGTACCCGAGACTTCTACCACTACTTCTGTGGTACCGGCCTACCTGCTACTTGAGTGTTTATTTTTCCCTCTGCTTCAAGTGTCGGGGGCCTACCGCCGCCACTAAAGTGTTTCCCCCTTGCAACCCTTCACAGTCACGGCCACAGGTAAGTACCGGCCCTGCGGGGCCTTGCAACCAACAAGTACCCTTTCGGGTCACACACACACTCAACCGACAAGCACTCAAACAGGCATGCAAACC